AGCTTCTTCCAAACTCCAGCTAATGTTACTATTCTGATCTCTTCTGTGAATCATTAACATTCTCAGTGGGATCTAGAATGGCTAATCCTTTCTAGAAGGTTCCCAGTTGACCCTCCCAGATCCATCGGAGGCAACAGTAGCTAGAGCAGTCGTAGCCTCAGAAAAAAACATTCTTAAATAGTAAGACAAAGTTGAAATTGCTCCTAGATCTATGAGCTGCAGATATTGCGTTAGTGGGTATGAAATTAAAACTAAACCAAACTAAAACATTACCTCTGAGGGAAGTGATGTACTTTCCTCGGCTAGATGCGTAAGTTCGCATCAGGCATCACAGCCACAGCCAAGAGGTCTTGCCACTGAAACACGTCTTTTGCACTGTGTCCTTTTGCCACCTCTGGATTCCTGCAATTTTCTGGGTGTTTCTGGCCCAGGCCTGGGGAGTCCAGCTTCTCCCATCCAGACCAGCACCCAGGGAGGCTGCCTGGTCCCAGGCAGTCCCAGGCTTGCTGCCCTGTTCCACACCCCCACAGCCCTGTGTTCTGCAGGCCCAGCACAGCAGGGGGTGCAATTACCATCTGTGTAGCTGGCATCTTCACAGACGCACATTGAAGCCACTGCAGCACTCACAGGAGAAAGCAAATAAGCACGCACAGCCCAGCGAAGTGCCAAAGTGCCTTGAGTCTCACTGTGCACACAGACATGAAGTGTTCATGGCACATGCAAAAAACTCAGAAGGAGAAAGGCAACTGTGTGTTCTCTTTGGAGATGTTGCCAAAGATTCTCCCTATCCTTCAAGGTCACATCCTCAGGAAAGGTACAGGAGTGAAAGGCAGCCTTCACAGGCTACATGGGGACGGTCAAGTCCCTGTGACCCTGAAGTCCAGGACAGTGGAGCAACAGCTGCGTGGGTAACGAGGGCAACACTCAGACACAGGTGGTCAAAACGTTGTTGGCTTTCTTATTTTGGCACAGCCTCCTCCCCAACAGGTGGATACCATAGACTGAGCCATCCCCTTTCCTCCAGGGTCCCCCTGGTGGCTGGGTGACTCTGGTAGCCAATCATAAGATGGCTGGGGACTAACAGAGATATTTGCAACCAGAACAAGAGTAAGTAGTGTCTTGAGTTCTTCAGAAGAAACACAGCATCCATTAGGGACCGACACTGGGTTCATGGAAAATGTCATGTTAGACAGATCGCACCTTAGAAATTGATTATGCTTAAGCCAGGCATGGTGGCTTATCTTGTTGCCAAGACAAAATATCCAACTAAAGCAACTCACAGCAGAAGGGGTTTATTTTGGCTCACCGTGAGGGCAGCGTTCTTCACTCTGGAGAAGCCCTGGCAGCCGGAACCCACCCGAGGCAGATGCATACATTGTATCTACTTTAGGTAGCCTAGAACACTGAATACCGTGCTTAGATCGCTTACTCCTTTCTTTACACGTGTTCAAGCTGTTAGAATGATATCACCCACACTCAGTATGTGTCTTCTCATCTCAATTAACATAATCTTAATAATTCTTCACAGCCAGGTGCAGAGACTAACATAATCTAGGTAATTCCTCACAGGTATGCCCAGAGACTTGTCTCCTAGGTGATTCTGGAACTTACCAAATTTAGTGTTAATCATCAAACTGGTTCACACCTGTAACCTTAGCACAGTGGTTCACAGCCTTCCTAATGCTGCGACCCTTTAATACAGTTCCTCATGTTGTGGTGACCCCCCCAACATAAAATTATTTTGTTGCTATTTCATAACTGTAATTTTGCTACTGTTATGACTGTTGTGAACTGTACTGTAAATATCTGATATGCAGGATAACTGATATGCAACTCTTGTGAAAGGGTCGTTTGACCCCCCACAGGTTGAGAACCACCACCTCAGCACTTGGGAGGCTGAGGCAAGAAGATTGCTAGTGAGTTCAAGTCTAGCTTGGGTTATAGAGTGAGTTCCCAGCTAGTCTGACAGATGAAGTAAAGCTGTTTCAAACGCCAAATGAATGAATAAGTGAATTAATAAATAAAAGTTAATGAATATTGACTGACCATGCATATGTACCAAGGATTATGCATGGAATAGCTCTTTATGAGAAAAATCCCCTTAGCTATCTGGGGGCTCAAGTTCTAGCTGTGTGGCCTGTGAAGGTTAAGGAAAGGACAACGAGCCAGCAAAGACCCAAGGTGAAGGTAGTGATCAATCTTATGAGGACTGGGAAGTGAACAGTGGGCAGGCGCTCTAGCAGGACTTCCCTGCAGGACAGGACTCCTGGGCAGCATGCCATTTGGAGGAAACACTACAAACCTGGTGGCCTGGAGAATGCAGAACAGTGTGTGGCACTTCTGGTCACCAGGAAAAACCCCTGCATGGGATATTTACAAAAATAGATTACATGCTATGTCCGGTTTTATTCACAGACATACTGGCCCAGATTTGGGGGTTGTTTTCTTGTCCAGCTGTCCATGCCGGATGCCTCTTTCGTGAGCTGGCTCATCGGTCTCCACAAATCAACAGGAATCTAACACAGGATGGCGTCTTTCTCAGTGAGTAAAAGAAAGCACAACATGAAAGGAAGGGGGGAAAGGAAGGAAGGAAGAAGGGAGAGGAGAGGAGGACATGGGAGGGGAGGGGATGGGAGGGAAGCAGGAGGAGAGAGGAGGGGAGGGGAGAACAACAGTTCGGGAGAGGGCATTAAGTTAGGAGGCAATGCATATACTTAATGATTAAAGTCCATAAAGGAGCAGATGAAGTAAAGAGTCAAACACAGAGAGACAGGGGTGGTGTGAGCTGAGACTATTTTAATTCTTAGTCTCAGACTTGCAAGGGAAGCAGAGGCATTACGCAGGAGTAGCTGGACCTGAGCCAACACTGTGGAAGGGCCACCGTAGAAGACATTAGGATGTCTTTGCCACATGGGAACAGGTGATATGGAGATGACTACCAGTGGATCTTAGCTATGTAGAAAGGAGATCTAGGCACAAGGAGGGGCTTGGCATGGTTTGAAGGGGACTTTGCTATCAGGCCCATCCAAGGTGGCTTCTCGAACCCTTATCCACAACCAATGCTGAAGAGGAGGGATTCATCCCAGCACAGAAACCCCAAAACTGCCTTTCCCAAGCCTTTCTCAACTAACTACTTGATGGGTTCCTCCTTTCTCAGTGTCTCTTGTCAGAGTCAGCGGGCATCCCTACATAGGTGTCTCTACACACAGACACCCGGAGGCCCTTCCTGGAGTGCTGTGCATGGCAGATGCCGTCAGACACAGAGCTCTTCCCTTAATATCCACTCCATCCTTCAGAATCTTCACACCGACAACTCAGCTCTGTTGTTTCAGGTTGTTGCTGCTTGAGATGATATCTCCTCCCAAGTAGCAGCTGCAAGGGAGTGCTTGGAATTCCAAGGAGCTGGTTTGGATGTCCCCAGGGCTGTCCTTGTTACAACCCTTGGGTAATCAGCTCCCTTTGTGCATCAAGATCATCTTTGAAGTGGATGCATATGAAGTGAGTCTATCATAAGTATTAAGTGGGACAAAGGATATAAGAGGATCGTGGCCTAAGGCCTGTGCAAGACACAAGAGTCTGTGCTTCCCAGTGACCCTGAACTATGTTTAAAAATCATAACCTTCATGTCTTGAAATTCTAATAATTTTTGAGCACAGAGCCCACATTTTCCTTTTGCACTCGACTCTGTAAATTATGTAGCCAGTCCTGGAGAGGGTTTAGACACAAAACAATATTGTAAAAGGGCACAGCAAGTTACTGTTGATAACAATTATTAAAGGCTGTGGAGAGGGTACTTTCTTTTCAGGCCTGGAATGCTGAGATAGCACAGAATTCCTCCTTTCCTGTGCTCTCATCCAAGAGCTCTGCCGTAATCCCCAGACCCAAGATTCTTCTGTGCAAACCTCAGTGAGTCCTTTCCTCATCCGGGTGCCTTGACCTCCCAGAAGCTTTCTCCTAGTCCCCTTCTATGCCCCACTGCTGCCCAGCACCTGTTGAAAACACACTTCTCTGAGTGGCCGAGCAGCTCTGCCCCTAGCGGAAGTTGGAAGCATGAAACTTCCATTCAGGAAGTCGGTTAGAGCCTCTGCCACCTGCTCCTGCCGTCTCCTCTCATCCTGTCCTCAGCCTCCAGCAGCATCTTAGCTGTCTGTCAGTCCTGGGTGAGAACTGGGCCCACAGCTGTTCCTGGTAGAGCCGGGTAGATGCTGTGACTTGGGGGCTTGGAGAGGGGGAGTGGGGCTTCTCAGTGGGGTAAGCCTTTGAGGTTGGGTCCAGCCTTAGAGGGGACTGTGTGTAGATCTGTGTGGCTGTTCTCTCCCCCCACCCCGTGTGTGTGTGTGTGTGTGTGTGTGTGTGTGTGTGTGTGTGTGTGTACCTGGGAGGCAATGTCCCTCTACATACTATATCAAGAAGCAGGTCTGTCACCATGTGTCAGTGTGGGCAGGGTGAAAAGCTGCTGGCAGGACCCCCAGGTGTGTATGGAGATAGTGTGAGAATCCTTGTCATCCGGGATGTGATTCAAATTGTGTCTCAAGTTGTATGTGGGTGCTTGTTTCTGAGTGGATGTGTGACACGGTGGGTGAGGTGAATGTGCCTACCTCTGCATGGGACAGTGATCCAGTGTGTGTCTGTGTGTTTGTATTAGAGTGGTACAAACTGCGTGGTTGTGTGTGTGTGTGTGTGTGTGTGTGTGTGTGTGTGTGTGTGTGTGTGTCTGTGTGTGTGTGCACCTGCCAGTGTTCTAGCCTGTTTCTAAGTGAGTGGAGCAGAGCCCACAGAGTGTGTGAATGTGGGTGTCTGGTGATTCAGTGTGTATTTGTATCAGCCACTGTGCGTCTGCCACCACGTCTACATCTAAGTGTGGTGGCGTACTGCTGTGAGTGGCAATGCCCAGTGTGTTCATGTGTGCTGTGCGTATGGTGTGAGCACCATGGTGCGTGCTAGAGCCAGCGAGGCTGCAGTGCTAGGCTGGGCGGGTGCATCAGACTGGTGTCAATGTCTTGTCTTGGCAGTGGCGAGCAGCGCGTGTGACCCGCGGTGTGTGCGTTGTCTCGCAGGCCAGGACAGATCACGCTCCCCACCACCACTTCCCTCCCGGCTATGAAGCCGCGACCCTTCCTGGGAGCCAAACAGCGGGCTTACGCCGGAGCCTCTAGGACCCGGCGGAGGCCGGCCGCTGTCCCCGGGCCGCGCGAGTGAGCATGTGCAGACCAGGCGCCCGTTCGCCCGCTCCGCGCCCGCCGCCCGCTCCACTCCGCGCCCGCGGCTCAGGTCGGCGCCCGCCGTCTCCGCCACTGCTCAGCGCGGAAGTCCGCAGCCGGGGGGAACTGAGCGGCGTGGGCCTGGGCGCGTTGGTGTCATCGCCACGGGCGCCGGGGGCGTGCGGGCGTCTGGGCTCCGGGCACTGCGGGGCTGCGGGCTCGGCGCCCGGAGAAGGCGGGCGCCCCAGCCGGCCACGATTGCGGGGTGAGTCCTGTCTCCAGGGTCCCCCAGCCAAGACCCCGGCGCAGGCTGCGAGCTGGATCTACCCCAGTCGCGGGCAAACAAGTTTGTGTAGACACGACTGGGAGCGCGCGGGGCTGCACCTGCTGGGGCGCGGGGCGCGCTGGCGGGGCGCCTTCCAGGGGCCGGCGCTCGGCGCGCCAGGACCGTGGCGGATGCGTGGGGAGAGCCTCGCCACGACTGGGCTTGACTGGGGGGTGCACAGGCAGTTGCACCAGCCGCATCTCCGCCAGGAGCCGGGGTACACCGGGTCCAAGTCCCCAGCGGGGTTGAGAACAGGATTTGAGGTGCGCACTGCCTCCCTCCTAGGTGGAGATATTCGCCAGAAGCTGCTCCCCCTCTCTCGTTCCGTTCCCAAGCCAGGCTTCCGGTCAGCGCAGGGTTTTCTTCAGTCTCTTGGTGAACTTGAACACCGGCAGAGACAAAACCGAAACGTATGTATTTTGTTGGGAAAATTACCCGGTGTCGCTCTTTGCATCTTTCTGAGGTGTGGATGGAGACTCGTGGCTGGATGCGGTGTTTGGCGTTTTTTCTTTGCTAGTCGGAAGCGTCCCTGGCTGGGTCAGCTGCTTCAGGGTAGCCTGTCTAACTGCTTTCCTGGGTGTCTGTGCTCTGCGGGTGGGACTTAGTGCCAGCTCGTCGATGGGAGGTCAGACTGGGGAGAAGACCTATGCCCCATCTCCTTACTAACAAATGGGTAGTTTCCAGTCCTGGGACACAGCCCTCACTCTCCATCACAGGCTGCTTTCCAGACAGAATGGACAAGCTCGGGACACCACTATACTTTGTCACTTCAGCTCTCCTGTTACCGATACCGCATGCATACTTCTGTTTTAGGGAGAGACACAGTCAGCCTGTGTGGGAGACCCGTAGTAGGGATCAGGATCCCGTCAGGCACAGGAAGTGAGGGCTGTAGAAAGTGAAAGAATTAGAGGAACCTCAAGCTGGGTGACCCTGGTCTGTCTACAGTGTCCCCACTTAATGGCTACAAGTGCTGGGGAGAGCTGCCTTGGTGTAGGAGCAGGTTTCGTTTCTCCCAAGCATGACCTCCCACCACACACACACACACACACACACACACATAGTCTTAGCTGACATCCCATAATACCTCTGTGGGGAGAGACTGCCAAGCCCACAGGTTCAGTGAAGGCATCTCCCTGGCAGTGGTTGAAGACAGCTTGGCCAGCTGCTGGACTGAGGGTAGTGGGGCAACTGTCCCCTTATCTCCTTAACATCATGCCCCCCCCCCCCCCAATCCCATAATCGTTCCCATAGAGTTTTGGAAGAAACTTATCTTGGGGTGAGGGGATCCCTCTTTCAGGGCACTGAAGTCCTCGCGTACACAGTACCGCACTCTGGCCTGACCAAAAGTACAGAGCAACGTGATGGATTTAGACAGAGAGGACCCCTGTCCCTTCCCCCTATCTGCCTCCCCCAGCAGAGGGCACATTCTGGGCCAATGGCCTGCTACTAAATGGGAGTCTCCACCTGGCCAGTTCAACCCGGAAACTGCAGCACAAGTCAGTGCGTCTCACGGGCAGTTCTTGTAGAGTCAGTGAATAGACAGACCCTCAGAACCCACAGCCTCCAGGCCCAGATTGAGACATATGTGAGCAGGACCTAGTGGGATAGATACACCTCTCTTTGCAGACACTCCCAGCTTGTACTCCCACCTGGCTCCATCCTGGCCCGTCTTCCTGAGACCAGCTCTCTGTGGAGTCAGGAGCAAGAACTTGGAGGCAGCTCAGCATTTAAATCTCGGGGATCTATATCTATACGGCAAGTGGTAGTCATACTCACAGGGTGGGGTGCTGATATCTGATCTGGAGGTCAGCCCTGCTTATTTGGGGAGCATGACCTAATTTTCCTCTGGACCTGTTAATCTTGCTTTCTCCCTCTCTTCCCTAATTTCTCTGAGTCTTGACTTTAATAACCACCATGGTGAGCTGTATCTAAAACACTATCTTTGTGTGCTGCTTTGAGAGGCTGTGTCTGTGTGCCTCTCTGTAGACGTTAATTCCCCTCCTCTCTGCTTGGATGTGAGCCCCCTCCCTAAAGGTCATCACCTTGGTATGAAGGGACCATGAGTAAGGACAGGGATGTGCAAGGTTCCTTGGGCCATCACCTATAGCTTGAGTCCCTGTCCTTTGGCAGAAATGGAGCCAGAGAAAGGGCTGACTGACTCACCTGCCCAGATTTATCCAAGTCTCTCAAAGGTGTTGTAACATCCATCTAACCTGTCCCACTCTGCCCAAGGCCCAAGACCACGCTCAGGGACTCACCACCAGTGGAAGAAGCACAGGAACAGATGAATACATCGGGGTGAGGGTGCTAGCTCAGGGGAGGTTGTGATTGGCTGTGCCACCCTCAGGAGAGGTTGTGATTGGCTGTGCCATATGGGATTGGGTCCTGGGTCAACCAAATAGAAAGGGAACACCCCACCTGCATGTGGCACTCCAGCACAGTGCATAGAAGAGTCCCATCTGAGTTTGGGTGGATGAAGGACATGTGACAGGGCAAGTGATTTCACACACTTGGAATCAGAAAGCCGGAGTTCTGTCTAGCATTAGCTGTTTGTTTCTGTTTGAGTTAATTGGCCCCCAGTGTTTCACATTCTGCCTCTATATAACAGGGATAATGACTCATAAAATAATGTCATGAGCCTGTGGGAAGACCACTCGTTCATTTGTTTATCTGTTTATTCGTAGTATGTGAAAGCACTTGTAACTCTAATCCAAACTTTACTGTGTGTGTGAATTTCAGCCATGAATTCACTGAAGGTTAGATACTTCATCTGCATTGAGTGGAGTTTTGACCTTAGTAAGACTATTCTTACTATTCGTGATTGACAAATCATAATTGTATATTTTAATGGGCTACCATGTGACATTAGACCTATGTATATACTATGGACTGATTAAGATAATTAGCTATTATGTTTTATACATTTAAAGAAACATTGTATGTGGGTGTGGAGTATGTGTGTGTGCACATCTGTGTGTGCAAAACACCTGCAGAGGCCAGAAGTTGATGTCAAGTGTTTTTCTCTACTGTTCTCCACATTATTATTATTGTTTGGGTTTTGTTTGTTTTGTTTTGTTTGAGACAGGGTCTTGCTGTCTAACTCTGGCTAGCTGGAACTCCTTTGGCAGACCAGGCTAGCCTCTGCCTCTCAAATGCTGAGATTAAAGGCAGGTACCGCCACGTCTGACCTCTACATCATTTTACAAGCCAAGGTGTCTCACTGAGCCTAGATCTTGCTGCTTCAGCTGTTCTGTGTGGTCAGCAAGCCCCTGCCTATCTCCACCTCATGAGCACGGGTTACAGAAGCACATCCATGCCTGGCTTCTGCCTGGATGCTGGGGATCTGAACCTGGAACCTCCTACTTTCAGAGAGCAAGCACTTTGCTTATTGAGCTTATCTCCCCAAACCCCTAGAAACATTTTTATTGGAATTATTTCTCTTGAGTGATGAAGTTCAAAGAGTTTTGCCCCTTCAAAGATGGAGTCTTGCCGCGCAGTGGAGGTGCATGCCTTTAATCCCAGCACTCGGGAGGGAGAGGGAGGCGGATCTCTGAGTTCGAGGCCAATCTGGTCTACGAAGCGGGCTCCAGGACAGCCAGAGAAACTCTGTTGAAAAAAAAAAAATGGAGTCTTTACCCCATTCCTGCAAGAGCCCAACAGGTTTGTGTTTTGTGGGTACCTTACCCCCCTTTGCAGCCACAGACCAGTTCAGGACCCTGGAATGAGGGAAGTATTCCCAGAAGTGGGCAGAGCTATTGACTGTACCTGGGAGGGGATGTAGGGATATTGACAGGCAGCCACACTCCAAGTAGAACCCAAACCCAGCCACAGCTCGCCCTGCATTCAGCATCTCTGTCAGTGTGGCAGAGCCACTCTGCTCCAGGGGGTGAGGAGGTTTGATGGAGAAAGTGTTGTTGGGCAGAGCCTTGAGGGCAGGAAAGTACTTCAGGCCTGTGAGTTGGGCAGAGCATCCCTGGCTGTCTGAAGAATGTGCACCATAAGGAGGCTTGAAACATCTCACGCTGGCCAGGAACACTGGTTGGGACACAGGGTTCTGTAAGGAACAGTTGGAGGGAGGAGGATGGGAGTGAGACCAAGACAGGACACTGCATGGCAGTGGAGGAGTTTGGACCAGTTCCTCCAAGCCCTGGGGCTTCTGAAAACTATAGCATCACTAGTGCTATGCACTGGATAACTGCTTTCTTGGGATGCTGGGAGGACACAGCTCCTGGGAGAGGGATGGAGTTCAGATGACAGGCATTAAGTAGGGCAGCGGAGGATGGAGAAGGAGAAATTAGAGGTGGGAGAACACTGGAGTCCAGCCTCGTTACAGTTTTACTGAGGTCTCAAAGCATAGAGCCACTAGCTTCTGGTTGGCCAGGGACCTGAGGTTCTGAGCAGCTGGGGCATAGGTCCCCATCTTGACTGGGGAACAGCTTGCTGGACCCTGAGCTTTGTCTTTAGATGCTGCCCGGTGTGCACACAGCTTTGAGTCACCCTTTCTTGGTGATCACAGTGACTAAGATCCATGGGGGGGGGGGGGGGAGCCGCTGGTCGTTTGTTCTCCCACTCATACTCCTCTCTAGTCAGAAGGTAGAAGGGAGGTGGAGTCACATGACTGAACCCCGGGGGCCAGCACTGACTAGCCTTGGTGATGCTCTCCTCTCCTGTCTTTTCCCTTGCTCTTTCTGCTGCCACTCCTAGGGCTCCAACCCCAACCTGGCCCACAGGTAGGTGCCACCTGCCCCCTTCCAGAGCCCAGGTTTCCTGAGTTCCCCTTGCTCTAGGAGTCAGATTTTCTTCCCTGAGACTCCTTGAAGCCTCTTGGTTCAATAGTCTCCTCTCCTTCCTGGGAAATCTCAGGGAATCCTTCCCTAAGCCCTAAAATAATTCCAAAGGATGTATAGAGCACTGAGCAAGGTGGCAGATGGGCATTTGTCCAACCTGGACGAGGCTCAAGTGGGGGCTCTCAACAGTCCCTCACCCCAAGTACTCTGCGGGTTCCAGACAAGGAAAATCAACAATGAAGCAAGCCTCCAGAAGATGTTGGAGACTTCCAGAAAAGGGGGACGGGCTCAAAGGCGGCCTTCCAGCCTGCCCATGGCAGTGCCTGTTAGGTTTGGCTCTGGGAAGGCCAGAACAGGAGGAGCTTCTGCCTGGCATAGTTTCAAACCTATGACGGAGACACACTAAATTTTAAAGAATACATCTTGCCACGTGCAGAGCCAGAACTCAAGTGAGGAACTCAAGGGGACAGGGAGCTTATTGGCCACACGCTCCCAGGAACAGATGGCCTGGGTATGAATACTGACTCAGACCATCTAGGCAGGTATGGGGACAGTTCTCAACTGACGGGAAGCAGGCCTTCTGCCTCCCATGAGGCTCTAGGGGCTCATGAGTTACATAGGCCATCTAATCTATTTATTCACACTGCAGGAGCTTAATAAATGGTGTCACTGAAAATTAAGCAGTTGCCAACAGCAGTCAGATCAACTTCAAGCAAGAGGAAGTTGTTGGACCCGTCCCTGGGAGTAGGAGGCCAGGAGGGAAGGAGACAGTTTCCCAGGAACACCTGCTTCTGGGCGCCTCCATCAGCTCCTGTGCACCTCTTTGGTACTCCGAACCAGTGTGTACCACAGTCTAGGCAACTGGAGTATGGATCTACAACCATACCCACTCACCCATTCACAGACAAAGAGCCTGAGGTCCTGCCCTGGGATTGGGTTTGCTATAATAAAGGTCTGCTGGTAGATATTGGTTGACAGCAGGTCAACCAATGGCCTCCCAGGTCCAGTATAGATGAAAAATGGCCAGAGTCCTGCCAGGTCTCATCTGGCTCTGCTGTCTACACTGCTAAGCTTGTCTGTCTGTGAGCTCTATGAATGTTGCAAGTCCCAGCTTGGCCACTCTTGAGTTAACATGTTCTTGCCGTTACTACTCAACTAGCTGTATGCTTGGGATCTGGGGATATGGAGATAGGCCAGGACCTGGAGGAGCCTCATCAGCCTGACAGATAAGTGGGGGGTGCACACTTGCAAATGCAGTTTTGGTGGTAAAATATGGTGGAAGATCAGGACAGGGCAAGTTCCTAATGCTTTTATTATGCCCACCCTCATTCAGGGCTCTGGTCTGGGAATCAGCTTTGCCATTTTAAGACTTGAGAATAAAAGCCTGTTTCTGGGACCCTATGCTATGGAACTCTGGCCTACATGTGGCTGTCGACACCAACCTACATTAGATAGACCACTCCAGGAACTGGTCTAGGCGGCTCTAGGAGGACTTGCAAGGTCTTGGAGAGCTTGAGTGAGTTGGAATCCTGGTGGGTTCATACCGAAATCGCTCCCCTACACCCCACTCTACTTGTTTCATATATGCAGATCCTATCTGTAACATAAGATGAAAGTCCCAGCACACTATGGGTGCAGGGGTGGGGGACATCCCCCAGATGTCTGTTCCATCTCACCAGAAACTTTCTTTCCCACAGCAGATAGGCCTACCTTATGCCTGTTATTTTAGTGGTTCAGGATTTATACACCAGTGGGATCCTAACTTTCTGCATCCAGAACTCTTCTGCAAACATACCTGGAAACCTTTTTAAAGCACACAAAAGATCCAACATATAGGTATTTCGGTAGTGTCTTGATAATCCATGTGAATCTTACACCTCAACTCTGTGGTGCTGAGACCTCTGGTTGCCCACATGTTGCTCTCAGCCTCTCTCCAGTTCAGGCTTCCTCCCAGCTACGGTATGAATGGGAGTTTGAAGTTTGGCTGCTATCAGACCCCTCAAGAGCAGGCTTCTCCTGTCCACTTAGCCACCCTTTCATTCATAAGAAGAAGAAAAAAAGTCTTTACAGGCAAAGACTACTGAGGTGTCACTTTGTACCAGGCTTTATGCTGGGGGACAGTGACAAAAGTAAATAGGGGATGCCATCTACTAGGGTTGATCAGAGTCCTTTGGGGATGATTGGAAAAGTGGATGGACAATGCTAATTGCACCAAAGTGGGTGCATGCTGGTGTGAACTCAAAACAGGCTGTTGGGAACCAGGGGGTCTATCTGTCTCTGTGGGTGAATGTGATTGGAAAAAGCTTGGAAGTGACCTTTATGCTAAGCCCGGGGGGTCATATAGAGATTTCACCAGGCAGAGGGAGGAAATAGGGGCTGACATGTTATGATTGTAGGAGGCTCTGCTGCAATCATAGTGCATGTATGTGCCTGCATGGCGGAGACACTGAGGCCTAGAGAATGGGGCCACGATGGGCTGGATCGCAAGGGGACCTTGGGTGCCATGCTAAGGAGCTTGCAGTTTATCCCCAAGCTCTGGGGAGCTATTGAAAAGAGGTTTTTTAAGCAGGGGAACACCAGCCAATGATCAGATTCGTGTGTTAAGGAGGCTCACCCAGGCAGCCTGTGCACTGTGGATTGAAGGAGCCCAGGCTGGGGGCAGACAGATCAGTCCGGATTTCATGGGAATTTTCTCTGTGGTTTTACAAATCTGAGGCTGGCAGGGGTGGGTCTGGCGACACACCAGCTTAGAAAGGGAAGGCTCAGAGACCATCTGCAAAGGCTTCCCTGCTCAGCTGGATTCCACCATCATTTGCTGATGAGGAACCTGTGTTTCCCATACCTCTGTCATCCTGGAGGCTCTCAGAACTTAATCCGGAAGGCGCAGGCTGGTCTGGGCCCCTTTTGGATGCTCTCCTGGGCCCCCAGCCTCCTTGCAGCCTGGAATGCTGGGCCCCAGAGCCAAAACATTGTCTTTCTTCTCCACACCCAGCAGGCCGTGTCTGATGCACAGAACAGCCATTGAAGCGCTGCCCTCGCCATGTTAGTTACGGCCAGCGGCTTTAGTCATGCTTCCAGGGTCTTTTCTTCTGGGACAAGCCTGTCCTTGTGCTCAGGGCCCTTCTCACACAGCAGCCCAACTCGTGGCAGCTGCAGAGCCCCCCACCAACCCTAATAGCCACTTTAGAGACGCCGCCAATGGGAACCACAGCTTAACATGAACACTATGGCCCGGGCAGCGATGAGCACTATGCGAGCTTGCCCGGCGGACCTTCCCTCCTCCACATCAGCTTCTCCAGCCTCTTGGTGCTATCTTGTCCTTTGGCACCCTAGCAAAGAGTCTACCAAAATCCCCTCCCTCCCTCGGGCCTCTGTCTTAGTGAGAGTCAGTGACCAACCTCTGTAGAAGCTGCTCCCAGAATACAGATCACAGCGTCACTGCATCACAGGAGGCAGGTCACTGTGTGTATTTGTTCAGTCCCTTCAGTGTACACCTGCCTGTGTGGGGCACACTCATGTTCTAGTCAAGCTGTGTTTCAGGCTGGGCTGTGTAGCTGTTGAGAGCACAGATCTGGAGAGAGACTTTGGAGTGTTGGCTCTTGTGCTCACCAGCTGTGTGGCTTCAGGACATGAATTTTCCTTTGTTTTTCTTATCTGTATAATGGGGGACATTCCAGCATCTAGCTCATTCGATTGGGGAGAGTTAAATGAGATACTGCGTAACTCACTGAGCTGAGTGCCTGGAACTACTGCGGACTCAATGAAGGCCATGGTTGCTTGCCTTCCTCCTACTTAGTGCTATTGTCGTTACTGGACCTTCCTTGTCACTGTCCAAAACAGTATTGTCCTCAGGTCGCAAATGAGGAAGCTTAAGCCCAGAGAGGTTCAGCAACTTCCCCTGTGTCTCCGAACATTCTGTCCAGCGTTCCTGACACCTAGCTCACCCCTTTGTTAAATCAGTCATAGGTCTGGGGACTACCCTGACTCAGGAAGGGGATGGTGGATCCTATTGCATCTTGATGTTATTTCTCCACTTTCCTAGGTTCCTGAGACTGACACGGGCCAGGAGAGCTGAGGGATGAGGGAGATGGTGACCCTTGAGCAGAAGCTACCAACATGGGGCTTGTGGCTGCTGGAGAAAAGTGATGGTGACATCTGAAACCCACAGGGACAGCAGCGCAAAAGTGAGCTGACAGGTTCAAGAGCCAGGATGCTGGGATGACACCTCTGGAGGCCCTGGCGTCCCTCCTGCCCAGGTGCTAGGAGCCGTCCCCAGGCTCCAGCCGGGAGCCCTGCTGCCCAGGGGCATGGCCAAACCTTTCTTCAGACTCCAGAAGTTTCTCCGCAGAACACAGTTCCTGCTACTCTTCCTCACAGCCGCCTACCTGATGACCGGCAGCCTGCTGCTCCTGCAGAGGGCCAGAGTGGCCCTCCCACAGGCCCTTCGGCCTCCTAGCAGCCTACAGGCCTTGCCAGTGGCCACTGTGGCACTGGGGGTGGGCCTTCTGGATGGCAGAAGCCTTCATGACCCCCACAGTAGCCCTGACCTAATACTTGATGTGGACACACTAAGGAGTCCTCTGGCCCGACTGCCACCTGGAATCCGCTGGCCCCGGAGGAACCGCAGCTCACTGAGGCGGCGCTGGCTCCACCATCTCACCAGTGACCCCCAGGGGCCACCCACCCTGGGCCCTGAGGCCCCTGGACCAGCAAGCCGCAGCCAAGGTAGGTGCTCTGTTGCTGCCAAGAACCCTGCTCACGGTTCCATTGATTGCCCCTCTTCTCAGCCCTGTGGCAGCTGAGGGGTGTGATACTGTCACCTAGAGCTCAGACTTTGATCTTGATTCAGCCATGTCTTGCTGGGTGACCTTGTTTATGTCACTTGTTTCTGGGTCCTCTCAGGTAGAGATAGAGACATTGACTCCAGCGTTATTGTGTAGATGTATTGGGGTGGCCTGGAGCAGTGTGTCACAAGGTGTCAAGGGTGGTCTCAGAGCAGGAGCATCTGCTCTGAGATCAGCACAGTCTCAGGTTCTCGTACATTAAACAAAGCAGAATCTCCTACTTTGGTTGCCACCAGAAATCCCCTTACCCATGCTCCAGACCAGTGGTTCTCAACCTTCCTAATGCTGCAACCCTTTAGTACAGTTCCTCATGTTGTGGTAACCCCCAACCACAAAATTATTTTTGTTGCTACTTCATACCTGTAATTTTGCTACTGCTATGAATTGTGATGTAAATATCTGATATGCAGGATATCTGATATTTGACCCCTTGGAGGGGGTCGCTACCCACAGGTTGAGAACTGCTGTTCTAGGTCACCCTGGTGCACTCCTAAGCCAAGAGCCACTTGTCAAGGGTACCTCACGAATTACTTGGCCTTCTAACTGGAAGCTGTTATTACTTTCGTAAAAGTAGCTCCTCATCTGTACAGTGTCACTCTTCTGTGAAGCCACTGTGTCTGGCACTATTATTTCCCCAATTCACAGTGAAGACACTGAGTCATGGGAAAGCTGAGTGAATGGCCAAGGTCATTCTCATAGTTTGAGGTCTCTTGAAGCTAGCCCCAAAGCCAGAACTCAAATGTAGAATAGATCTGGGCAGTGACCTCAGGAAACTCCAGCTGGGGAGTGGCAGGGAGACCAGGAAGGAAGGCAGCCAGGAGAGGTGTGCCATGGAGCAGGAGCAGGCTGATGGAGCCTGCTTGAGCTGGGAGGGGACTGGAGACAAAGCAGGACACACATCTCAGGGCAGCCTGGAGTGGCAGGCCTGGAAGTGGCCAGTGATTGGGATCAGCCTTCACACTGCTGTAAGCCCCAAGTTAAGATGGTCCACACTGACCTGGTGCTCTTTGCACTGAGTTCTGTGGATTCTCTGTACAGGGCCCAGGAAACATGCTGGGTGCCTGGGGAGCATATATAGTAAGTGCTGAAATTGTGCCTGAATGAAACTGAGCTCAGTCAGCTCTGATCATCCTGTTACCACCTCATTTGGTCCTGTACCCTAAGTCACCAGGTATTCCTGTCCCTAAAATAAAGTTCATAGTTTGCTAAATATAGATGTTTGAGCATAGTCTATACAGTACCTAGCATAAGGAATAAGCATAGTGCATGGAGTACTTAGCATGGAGTACTAAGCACAGCACATAGAGTATTAAGCATAGAATACACAGTTCTTAGCCTAGAGCGCTAAGTGGAAGACTGTAGGAGTAGATAAGGCAAGTGGGGCATCAGGCCAGGGGGAGGGCAGGCATAAGAGAAAGTACCAGCCCTAACATTTGGGATGGATGATGGATGGATGGATGGATCTATTTTGTGTTGCTGAAACTCAGATCCTAGGCCATAGGATACTAGGCACACACACTGCACTGTTGAGTCACACCCCCCGCCCTCGATTTATTCTGAGGATGATAAGGTTCCAGAGACATGAAAGGAGCCCCAGCTTCTCTTCCTTGGGGAGATGGCTCAGTGGGCCCAACCAAGTGAAGACTAGAAGGCTGGGGGTTCTTGTCTCCAGGGAAGGATGTTTTTCAGACATCATCCAGCCAGTGTTCATCACAGTGGGCTCTTTAGCATAGCCTTCATGTAAGAGGAGATGGAGGGACTGGTGGTCCAGCTCATTTTATGTATGTGTGCCTTCTCTAATCTCTCCAATGTACCAAGAAACTGGGTCTCTCTGCAGGCATTACCAGGGCAATTAATTTAGACTAAAGTGCAAATGACCGGGAGAGGGCCCCATGGGTTTCTTGAGAGGAAGTTTTGGGAAGTATATACTTGCTGAAGACAGAGCTGAGTTCCTCTCTTGCTATTGCTGCCTCATGGCTCTGTGACCTTCAACAAATTGACCTGGAGCCCTCCCTTCATTTCTTTGCACCCTCATTTATGGAAGACCTACTGCATTAGTCCCCAGATGTGTTTTGCAATGGGCTCTTGAGTGCTCTGTCTGGGGTGGAGTCAGCTGTGTATACAAATAATCGCTACACAGACTTACTGAAAGATGATTAAGGCATGGCATGGGGCTTGAGGCAGAGCAGACAAAAATTTTTATAACCGCTCTGCAGAGAAGGAAACTAAAGGCAGCCCGGCAGTCTGGTTCTGGCCATAGACATGTCCAAGAGAACCATTTAGTTACCTCCCCCAAGACACAGTAGTGATGGAAGGGCTCCCATGAAAGCAGGAGAGATCGCAGTTAGAGGTAAGCAAGACCGTGATCAATTGCTGTCCAGCAATATGGTTTTGGGTGTGACTAAAGATGGCATACCTCCTTATCTGTTGATAGTCCCTGTCCCTGACCTCTGGAGTGCCCCCGTTTCCAAACAGAGAAAGGGTTAACTCTGGCCACACCAGGGTACAGTGTGGCATCCAAGGTCCAGTCCCAGGGCTTGACAGTGAGGACCCAGAAGGCTTAATAGACACCATCACTCCATGGGTGATTAAATATTCTGAATCTTCTGCAAGATTTTAAGATAAAGTTGGTCTCCCTGCAGACTCAAAATGACAGTTTCTGAGGGAGGTGTGGTGACATGATGGGAGTCTTCAGAGAACACAGAGGGAGGCAGAATGCTCTCCTGGGAGCCCCTGCCCCTGCCTCTGATAGGACTCTCTTGCCCTGAATGGCCAAGCAGGTCTCCTTGGTCTAAAGAGTGGCCCACAGTGTAGCCCTCGGCCAGCTGCTGGGGCTGCAGACAAAGCAAGCATCTCTTTGCAGCCTGGGCATTCCGCCATCCCCTGAAAGGGATCCTGCAAGCCACGGAAGCTGCAGGAGTCTCCATCAATCACTGAGCATTTCATTATACCTTGGACAACATCCATAATGGAATAAAATGTCAGTAAGTTTACTAGGGGAAAAATAGTAACTTCTCCATAGCCAGTTTGTTTTTTATTGATAGTAATTTCCAAAGACATTCCAATATCTCCAAAGCCATCGTTAATAGCCTCACGACTTGTCCATTCCGATGTGCAAATGAACAGATGCAGAGTCACAGGCGGTAATGCATCGCCTTCGTTTCAGCCCAGAGTCATAAATCCGCCTCAGGATCGTCCCAGCGCATCCCTCGAAAGTTCTTGCTTTTCTGCACATTCTTGCCTCTGTCAGGGATTTTAGAAAAGCCGTTTGTTATGTTAAGTGACAAAGGGCTCCTTTGCTCCCCCACAACCCAGAGGGGCCATCTGTGTCTCAGACCCTGGCTTCACCCCAAGGCAGGGCTGCTGGGCAGAGAGGCAGTGGGTGGGTGAGGGCTTCCTCTGCGTGTCGGTCAGACACCGAGTCCAGCGGCTCAGTCCTCAGCCACTTCTACTTTCAGAACGCCAGCCTGGCTGTTGAAACCATTACTTTACTCTCTTCTACTAATGTGCTAATTATTCAGCTAATATTTACTGATTCATTGTCCCACTAGGTCCCAGGTTAGGGTATAGGATCAGAATAATAATAGATGTTATTTATTTGAACATCTGTTATGTATGGAGCATCATTTTGTGTAGATGTCCATCTGTCATCTTGTTTAATTTAATCTTCAAAGAGCCTACTGATGTAAGCAGTGTTCTCGCCACTTTAACAACGAAGAATGTGAGTTCCAGGGAAGTCACTGAGAATTCTTCATTATTCAAAATGAACTATTAGAAATAAAATAGTCACTCCTGGGTACCTGACACTCCGAGGCTTGTGTTAGACACTGGACCTGTGTTATCTTGTGGAATTCTCTCAACCAGCTTCTGGAATTGGTACCATGTCCCAGTTTTGTAGATAGGGAACCTACATCTTAGAGAGGGGGTACTGCACATCCTGGGTCACACAGCCCTGTCCTGGCGGGGCAGGAGTTCAAACCTCCACCATCCCATTCTCAGAAACATGGATGCACCATTTGAACATCAGCAAGTCTTGGCCCGGGTGCCTTTTGAGCCTTTGTGCCTCAGTTTCAGCTACAGAACTTGTGTTTGGAATGTTTAATCGAAAGCTGCAATGGACGTTTTCGTCTGTGCCAACTAACACATTGGAAGTTTCTCAGACACTGTGAAGTAGACAAGCAGAGAATAATTCATGCCTGCTGCTCTGGGTGGGTGTTTTCTGCAGCCATATATGATGGATTTGGGGATCCCTGCGGCGAGAGAGAGAGAGAGAGAGAGAGAGAGAGAGAGAGAGAGAGAGAGAGAGAGAGAGAGAGAGAGTGAGTTTACCGGGATTCGTACCAGGGAAATAGCCCTCACCATGGAGTATCTGCCTGTGGTTGGCATGCTGGGTGTAGCCACATGTGTTGATGCCCAACTGTCCATGGAGGTGGCCTCAAGAGGCATGAAATTTAGAAGGGGCCATATTGAAGAAGGTGGCTGTTGGCTTCCCCTTCCTGGCATCTTCTGACCTGAGATTCCCTGGAGCCCTGGATGGTCAAAGTGCAGCCTCCTCCTGTTGTGGCTCTCATCTGCTCTGGGAGTTTAGGCCCCTGCAACTTAGAGCCAGGTGTGGTCAGCTGGGCCACCCTTCTTGTACCAGGGCTCCTCTGCGTTACACCTGAGGCCTTGGGACTACCAGTATGGTCTGTTGGAGCTGTGACCCACTGTTTCCAGTTAGGTGATAGGACTGGCATTGTGCCTAACTCTGGTGAGTCACTTGGGGTAAAGACGCTGTCCCTACCCACTTAGAAGCTTCAGGTTTAGATTTTTAACGTTAATGACTAGGACTTGGCTGACAATCCCAGTCATTAATTTGCCTGTATTTTTAAGGCAACATCTTTGAGCCCTGAGATTCTATGGCGAGCTGGAGTGACAGGGGAAGGATCCTGGCCTTAGGATAGGTGAGAAGTTCTGGCTAGATGGGAGAGGGGAACTGGTCTAGAGCAAAGGTGGGCATCCATCTTCCTGACAGTTGGAGAAACAGAGCTATGCCTTCACTGTGGCAGCACTCAAAGACTGAAGAGCCCCTCCCTGTTCAGGAATGAATGGGCATGGAGCCCTTCCCCACACTGCTCAGCAGAAGCCGCCATTCCTTGGGAGGGACCATGACCTCCCTCTTCTCAGGCCAGCCCTGTGAAGCCACGAGGCTGCTAGGAAGCCTGACCCGTGTTTCCGGTGCACACTCCAGGTGACATTTCAGAGGTCCAGAGCAGCAGGACACACACACTCTCAGGCTGTGTGCAGCATCAGTGCAGGTGTCCTAGCCTGTCCCCAACATAGCAGTTGTGGATGTGCCTTCCCAGTTTGGGGACCATGCGAGAGTGTGTTTGCAAATTCCCAAATGCCATTTCTTCAAAACACTGTGATGCATGTGACATTTACATGCCTGGGACTGCACTTGCATTCTCCAGGTTTCTCTGCAAGTCTGGGAAGCATCTCCTTCCTGTCAGTGACAGGGCAGGGCTATCAGCAACTCCCACCAGTGTGTGTATGCTTGGGTCTATAGTGCCATTACCCTATGGAATCATCCTCGTGTCCCTGACTGGGGAAGTGCATGAGGGTATGGCAGAGGGCTCCACAGTCACTTGGTTACATCAGTTCCTACATGGACTCCTGTCTCAAAACTGACAGACTGTTTACATATGCTAGCAACACCCTGCAGATTGGTTGTTTTAAAGAGGTCCCTGCTTATGTGAAGTCTTAGGTTAACTAATTCTAGACTTCCCCTGGATCCTGTCCTCCCTCTGGTTCATGTGAATGTGGTAGAAGTGTGTCTTGGGACCGCAGTAGAGACAGAGGGCCTCTCTGAACCTAGGAAGGGAAGAGAGAGTAAGGCCATTAAACCATCAATGTTTGTAAGGACTCAAGTGTATAAAAATGCAGCTATCCTGATTTGATCATTGCACACATATATTGAGTCATCACACTGTAGCCCATCAATATATACAATTAATAATATATGCATATATATTTTAAACTCAGATCCAAGCTCAGAGAAGAGGAGTGGTGGAGAAAAGCTGCAGTCAGGCTGGTTCCAGGTTCCTGGAACTGCCATTTGGTGCACAGTAGGCCATTAACTGAGTACATAGTAGGCCATTAGCTGAGCCAAGGAGCAGAAAGCTGCCCACCTGCCCATTTGGCTCTTGTGCTGAGGGGAAGTTGAAGAGCAGCTTTCATCCCCTCTACTCTCTAGAGAAGCGTATGGGCCAGGCAGGGGTGGTGATCCCTCTTTTTCCTCACTGGTTGCAGGCAGGCAGACTTTCCTGGAACGAGGGCCCAAGGCCCTCCCTGACTCCTGGGCCTATGATCTCAGTTATGCTCCCTCTTTACAGGCACTTACCTGGGATGCTTCAGTGAGGAGGGCCAGGAGAGAACTCTGAAGGGGGCAGTGTTTTATGACTTGAGAAAGATGACCGTGTCCCACTGCCAGGATGCCTGTGCTGAGCGGTGAGTGTTGAGCTGGGCTGTTGACTGCACCGGATCAAGGTTAGAAGACAGTCTCAGAACCAAGGGACATCATGGTTGCTAGTTAGCTGTCCTGATGTCATTACACCTCCATTCATCAGACGCTAATCTCCAGGAGAAAGTTTGTCAGCGTATGACCAAGGTGCTAGGAAGTATCTGGAGACTTGGCTTCTATTCCTGCTATGCTAGGGACTCTCCCTGTGACCCATGGGAGTTCTTTGAATAGGCTATAGAAGAGAGTGAGGACCCATCAAAAACTTACTCAAGTCTCTGGCCTCAGTTTATTCACCTGTTTAAAAAGTAAAATAAAGGGATGTGGAGGACCAGTTCAGCAGTTAAACATTGCTACTTCCGTTTACAACAAAATTTGCTTTTCCAGATAACGCCAGCTCTCCTTGCAGCCAGCAGACATGCCTCATGTGCCAGGGAGTTGCCCCTGCCATCAGGACAGTCACAGCTCACTGTGCGTGCATGTTCACGTCAGAGGACAGGCAGAGCGGCGTGAGCACGCAGCACTCTTCACCTATTTCCATCACCTTAGATTCTTTTACACTGTTTTCTCTAAGTCCCACCCCATTCTTTTAGGTAGTCATGAATTATCCCCCACTTTATACCTAGAGAAAGCAAAGACAGAACCCACCTTCCCGCACACTTCATAGCTCAGAGAAAGGTGAGGCTCAACATGAGGATGCCAATGTCTCATTTCAGTCTCTTCATATTCAAGGAAACCGAGACTCACAGGTAGCAAGTGACAGCGTCTCTCATCTCTTAAGCAGCCAAATGGGACTTCATCATTTTGGAGTTTTCATTCTGGGCTTTTCACCCCAGGAAGGGAGAGCGGATACATGGTCCACTTTCTATAGCTGTGGCCCTGTGAGACACTCTATAGGTTCTCTTTCTCTATCTTGCTCCAGTGAGGCCTGTAGGTAAGGAGGAGGGGACTGGGCAGCAGGGCCCTGGAGTATCGCCTGTTGCGTAGGCTTCAGGCCAGTGCTGTGCTGGTGCTGGACACACTTGAATCTCCACCTGTGATCCTGTGATTAGGCAGCTTAAGATCATCTGTTGACTGTTTACACCACAGCAATTAGTAAACACTGGACACCAGGGCTCTGCACATTTACTGAGAACCACATTCCTACACATCGCTGATGTAATAATCCCTTGTAACTTGAGACCAAAGATGAAACTGAAGTTCAGTCCCAAAGCTGACAAGACAAATCAATGGGGCTTAATAGTTTGTTCCAAAGAAAACGTTATTCCCTGTATTTCAATGACATTTAATTCTGGATGGAGCCTGATTCCAAAGGCTAGTGGTTCTCAACCTTCGTAATTCCGAAACCCTTTAATACAGTTCCTCATGTTGTGGTAACCCCCAACCATAAAATTATTTCATTGTTAATTCATAACTGAAATTTTGCTACTGCTATGAATTATAATGTAAATATCTGATATGCAGGATCCCTGGGAAAGAGTCATTTGACCCTCAAAGGGGTCAGGACCCACAAGTTGAGAACCACTGCCCTAAGCCATGCTGATGGCCATGCCCCTGCCTACTCACCCAGACTTCATCGCAGCTTCAAGTCCATCCCTGAGACCTAGCTGCCATCACCTGACTCTGTCCTTTCCATAGTTTGGACTCCAGCCTTAGCTCTTGGCCCAGCTTGGATTCACTCACACTCTGTGTCCCTGCAGGTCCTATGTCTATGCCGGCTTGGAGGCTGGTGCAGAGTGCTACTGTGGGAACCGGCTCCCAGTCACACGTGTCAGCCTGAAGGAGTGTAACCAGGAGTGCAAGGGGGAGAAGGGGACCGTTTGCGGGGCTGTTCGTCGGCTCTCCGTGTACAGCGTGGGACTGCAGCAGCCGGGCTCCAGGAAGCGTGAGTGTGCCAGCCTCATCCCGAGCTTTACATGTCACCCATGTCCTGCTCACCCTACCCACAGCCCATAGGCCAGAATTTGAGCTCCCTTCCCTGTCACCTGCACCTGACTGGTTCCTGGCATGCTGCAGACAGAGAGTAAGGGCCGTCAAAAACTGTAACAGCCTGGGTTTCTGACTAGGCACACTTTCCCTTGTCCCTTGCAGAAGAAGCTGATTAGGAAGCCTAGGCTTGCTGTGTGGCCACAGATGACTCATTTCCTTCACTGGTTTCAAGTCTGTTCTCTAACCTCTCTGGATAGAGCTAGGTCTCTAGCACTAGGGTGGTGGACTTGAGGGTCTGAAACTAGTTTAAGGAGAGAGAGTAAGACTTGAGAATGTGTAGCGACAGCTCCACATTTGTGTGTGTTTGGGAGGTCAACTTTATACCACCTACCTGGCCTGCAAACTCTAGCATAAAAGTTGGTTCTGGAGGGGTTTTTTTGTTTTTTTTGTTGTTGTTGTTGTTGGTTGTTTGTTTGTTTTTTGTTTTTTGTTTTGTTTGTTTTTTTTTGGAGGAGCAAGTACAAAATCTGTCTCTGGAGAGGTATGCCAATAAACCTAGACATCAAGGGTTCCCATAGCAAAGATGAGCATACAATTCAAAATTACACAGCTTGAAAAGAAATAGCCCAGCCCGGAGGACCATGGTGGGCCACAGCCACTGTGCATAGGGTCAAAGTACAGGAAGAGTGACTCCTTCCTGGCTGCTAAAGATGTTCAGGTGCTTCCTGCATCCGACAGATGTGCCTGGCAGCCAAGAGGTCTAGATGGGGCGATGGCTTGGAATGAAGACACTGACAATACATATGAGCTCAAGGATTTGCTAGTGAGTACATTAATTCAACAGAAACCCACTGACACCCAGTGTGTGCCAAATGTGAGGTTTACCTCGTCCCTTGGACTCCTGCCTAGGCTCTCTGAGGACTAGACTGGCCCATGCTCGCTTCTTGGATCTTTTATTTCTTTGGCCTTAGATGATTAGCCTGATCCCTGACCTCTTACTCCTGAGCCCCAGTGGGATCAGGCCTGAGGTGGACTGTGGGCCACCCTACCAACTTCCAACTCAATCACTGACTTAGAGACAGCTGTTTTGCTTCTGCTTCTGATTGGCTGAGGGACAGATGGTCCAGAGGCCGGCCTCTGATCTTGAGTGGGCCCCAGATGCTGTCCTGGTTCGTGTTGGCAGTGGTGTCAATGCCGTTTCTGCAGCCAGCTGTGTGGCTGACCTCTGCATTCTGCTCCACTCACCAGGAGCTATGCTAACAGGCTGTCAGAGGTGATCGGATGACCACCCTTTGTAAATTGCAGCTTGCAGCTGCTAGGACATACTCACAAGTATACCCTTGCCTTCGAGTTGGGATCAGGCTCAGTCCTGACACTTTATCAGTGTCTTCCCTTGACAATGCTCTTCTGCCCTGCATGGTCCCAGGGCTCTCATCTGGGGCTATAGAGTGAGGGCTGTAGAACAGTCTACACTTAATGGTATTATCCACAGTCACATAAGTGTTATGCACAGACCATTTCTGTGACCACCCAAGCCACGCCGGTTGCTTCCCTGTTGTAGATCATGCTGAGCCTCGCCACCCACCCCATTCCATACCTCATTTCATTCATTCACTCACCCAGCACTGTAGTCGAAAGGTTTCCCCCCCCCCAGTCCTACCCAGTCCCACAGCCGCTCAGACCCAAGTAAACACATAGAGGCGTATATCAATTACGAATTGCATGGCCATGGCCTATGGCTCAGTTTTCTTGCTAGCTAGCTCTTATAGCTAGACTCAGCCCATTTATTTCTATTACTCTGTATGTCACCATGTGTTCCGTGGCTTTATCTGTGTGCCACTACATGCTGCTTCCTGGATGTCAGGATGGCATCTCCTCTGCCTCTCCTTTCTTCTTCCTGTCTCTCTCCTGGATTTCCTGCCTGCCTCTAAGCTGTCTTGCTACAGGCCAGACAGCTTTATTTATCAACCAGTCAGAGCAACACATATTCACAGCATACAGAAAGACATCCCATAGCACAGCACCCCTTGGCATCTCCTGTGTTTCCGTGTTGAGCTGGTTGCAAGGAGCCAAGGGAATCACACACAGCCTCCTTCTGGGAGCTCCATTCTAGAGTCTCATGACCCCCCATTGTTCCCCAACCCTCCATGGCCTGGACTCCCTGGAATACTGATTACTGTTCTCCTGTGCTTTGCCTGCCTCAGTGATCCCCCTTTCCCTTACGCCCCTCCGCCTGTATCCTCAATGTCTGTCCCATGCCAGTGATTGAGCGCTGTGGTCTGAGCTAAGTCTTTGTTCTTTATGGCCTGGCCTTGCCACGGGATGGCACAGAGTTTTGTGGGCAGTACATGTCATTGGCCTCGGCCATTGAACCACAGTCCTGAGCAGGGGTGTGTGTGTGTGAGGGGATGCAGCTGTCAGGAGCTGGCATTGGGACACATAGTGACTCCATAACAGTCCTCAGAGCTTAGAGGATGTCAGTGAGGAAGAGCCCTTGAGTCTGTGACACAGGGCTAGTCATAGGCCGGACAGCCCAGGTCCTGAGGATCGGAAGCCAGCCATTTTCTCTGCAACAGGTGGCCTTCCTAGCTCTGTGCACTGATTCCCAGACCCTTGGTTCTGTGGTCAATCAGGTTGGGCTTCCAGGTCCAGAACTTGGCATGACTTAACAGTTTATAAGGAAAAATTCCTGCCCCAAGTGAAGCTGGTGAGAGTTTGTGCTGCTGGCTGGGAGATGTGACAGGTAGAGCAAGCTTAAGGACAGATGTCAAGTCTCAGGAGACCTTATATGAAGAGGAGTGTGGGATGGGAATCAGATGCCAACTCAAGAAACTTATCCTCAAGCAGTTGGTGCTGGAACATTCCAGAAGGTTTGCTCGGTACCAAGGGAACCAGAAAGCGAGCTGAGCTTTTCCACCAGAAGGTTGAAGAACAGCTTGGCAAGAAAATTCCTTTCTGACATGGAATTGAGGAATATTCCTAGAACCCAGGCGGGAGTTCAAGACCAGAGTGAGGACAGCCTTTCAGGAAGCCCAGAAGTGCCTTGTCTGCACCAGCACAGGAAGAGGCAATGGGCAGTCCAAATGCCCAAGTCCACTTATTTTTTCATGCAAATTCTCAGGAGTCATAGAACTTTCCAGACTATCAGCCTGCCAGATCACCTACTGTGGGGGCTAGCATGAAGTAAAATGCAAAATGAAGGAAAGAAAAAAACAAACAGCTACCCAATCCCCTCACTTCTACCCCCACCCCTTGGATATGGCAGGAAAGGCGACCCCTTACCTCAGCATTATAGCCAGGTGACCTTTGTCCAAGACTCTGGGTGACCATGGTCCCCATAGTGGGTGTTTCTCAGGTGCTTGGCTCAACCCATCCAGACCCTTTACTTACTCTGTCTCTCTCTCTCTCTCTCTCTCTCTCTCTCTCTCTCTCTCTCTCTCTCTCTCTCTCTCTTGTGATATCTGCCCCTCCTGAGTATATTCATGTAGATCTCAGGACCCAAAGCCAACCACAGACACCACTTCTCATCCAATCCCCATTTCCTTCCCTGCAGGGTGGACTGCCACCTTCCGAGGGTGCTTCCCACTGCCAGAGAACGTCACCCACACCTTCTCCTCCTCCCTGACACAGGCCAACGTGACTGTGGAGACATGCTCTGAATTTTGTTCCCAGAAAGTAAGAACTATTACCGTTGTGTGATGCTTCGGTCATACTGTGTGCATGGTGGTCTTCAGAGCAGGGCAGGGCCCATGCTGGGGCAAACACATCCACTCTGACAGCCCAGGAGGGAGCCGAGCAGTAGAGGGAAGGGTCAGGCCATATATCCGGTGTCACACAGGGAGTGTTGGATCGTTCACAAGTAACACCCTCTGTGATAAGAGACTGGATAGGGAAGGCTGTAAAGCTAAAAAGAATGTGCCTGCATGCCTTTCTGCATGGAAGCTTCTGGCACAATTGTCATGTGTTAAATTGACCTTGTTTGGACTCAGAGATGCCCACTCAATCCTTAGGGACAGCTGATGGATTTTCCATTTTCTGTTCCGAGGGCTGTGACGGGCTGCAGGGGCCATGCCACAACCACTCCTGTGGTTCAGTCTAGGCTTTGGAGGGCAGTGGAACTCTGCTCGGGCTGATCTGGGCAAGGCACCAAAGCCACTGCCCCACACTATGTACTTGCTCTGTGGCAGGATGAGGAGTGGGCAAAGGCAGGTGGGAACTGCAAAGTTTACAGTCAGGAGTGTATGAGGTGGGGTAGGGAGCCCTGTGTCCATAGAGCACAGAGGTATTAGGCTGGGATTCAGCCACCTCACACTGTGGTGAATGCTGCATCTCTGTAAGTGATCCTAGGTGAAGGCGGGCTGGGGGCTGGAGCTGATGCAGTTGTGTTGGGGCTCAGGAGCCTTGATGCTCTGTGGTACTTGACAGCACAGAAGAGCAGAGCTAACGGGAAGAGAGGGCATTGCTTGTGATGATGGTGACAATGATGATGGTGACCTTGACTATGAACAGGAACTTACCCTGGTCACACATAACCACACAAGGTACTAGCTATTTCAAGCACTTTACCTGTGTTAACTCATTCAGCCTGCCTGAGGCCTAATGGGATGGATGCAGAGATGATCTGCATTTGGCAGGTGAGGAAACTGAGGTAGCTAAGGCAGAGCACTCGGGCTGTCTGCCCGTGCTCATGTAGCAGCACTGGTGGAGCCGGGACTGGACAGCTGCATGACTGACCTGTTGTTGGGGTTAAGGATGGAGCAGGGGCAGCTGCAGTGAAGTGGCTGTGACATCCATCCTCTGTCTCACCCCCACCCCTGCAGCCCTGCAGTGTACTGCCCTCTTCCTGCTTCCTCAGCTCTCTGGAAAGGCTTCTCTTGCAAGGTGGAGAGAGAACAAAGCTTTTCTAGGCACTTTCCTCTCGCCTGAGGACAGTGTTGACGCACTTCCCCCGCTTTGTGCCACCAGCGTTTTCAAAGGCACTGCCATCAGGACCCACAGGTCACAGAGCAGTCACCCCCATTTATTGGCTTGCAGGCGTCTGTTCTGGGAAATCACTTCTCATCCTCACAGTGGGAACAGAACTCAGTGGGGACACCCACACAGCTGCCAGCCCTGCCTGGGGCTACAAGGAAATAATGTACCTGAAGTTTTGAGCCATTTCCCCATAAGGCCCTCCTCCAACCCCAACTTCCTTCAGAGTGTAGAATGCCACTGGTCTAGACCAGGATAAAGGCAGACTTCCCAGCAGCTTTGGTGGGGCCAGGGCCTTTCCAAAGACTGCTTTAATCTTCTCAGCAGGGGACTACCTCATATCCCTTGGTGGCTGTAGGATTCAGCTCAGGTTTGCAGAGGGATAAGCTTGTACACAGGCACAGCCAGGGCTCCTGACTCCACCATCTGTGCTTTTAGACACTGCAGCCTCTCCTTGTGACAGAAAGTGAGGGAGAGGTGAGAAACATAATGGGAAAAAGAGAAAGTGCAGTCTCCATGACTGCACGCTTGGACTCCTCCGGTTAGCTTTGAGTAAGTAATTTGTGTAGACCACAGTAAAGAGATACTAAGGCAAGTCAGCTCGCTCCTGCCTCTCTCCCACTCAGCCTCCACCCTGGGAGGCAGCTCATTGCCCTGGCTTCCTATGGCCACTTTCAGAAACTGAATATTCAATCAGTTGCATCCTAGACTGGTTCATAACATCCCACAGCTACCGCTAGCACAAGACCTGCATTCTGCTGAACTGGCCCTGTTTTGCCAGACCATCCGCCTTAGAGATCACTCCATATGGGTTTAGAAAGTGAACTCCAGTCTTTCCCAGCCTCACAGATGTCCTATAATTTATTTAACCAATCCCCTACTGTTCAGCTTTTAGATTGCGTCTAGTCATTTGCTTTTACAAACAGTGCTGCAATGACTATGTTTAGGTCATTTTGTATGAGTCTGTAAGGAAAAGACACACACACACACACACACACACACACACACACACACACACACACACACACACACACTTTCCTGGGCGATGCTGGCTTCAGGAGGTATCTTTGTTGTTCAGTCTCTGTGGCCAGGTTGCCCTTGGCAAAGGTGGGAGGGGACATAGCCACTCCTGGAGGGGTCTCCTTCTTTGGAGAGGGAACATCCTAGGAAAATGTTCCAGTATTCTGGATGTGTCTCCCCCTGGGCAGCCTTCTAGAACCCAGAGAGCGCTCTGCCTGGTGGTTGCAGACAATAATTTAAAGATGAGAAACTCCTTGCTATTTTCAGCTCTCCTTCATATTTACTGGCACAAATCCACATCGCTACAGTTTTACAGTGAAGTGTGCCAGAAGATCCCCGCAGGCTCTCGGTATCATAAGCCGTTTGGCACCTTAGCACCTTGTCTGACTCCCCTGCAGATGCATCTCAAGGGCGAGTTACTGGCTTAGTTCTAGAATTTGCAGCAGGCACCGGCTCATCAGAGCCACATGGGAAAGATGCCTAAGGTTCTCAGATGTGGCCCGTGCCGTCAGAGCATCTAGCGTGGGAATCAGTTCACTCATCTCTTGTCGCAGCCTCCCCCCACCCTCCACCCATCGGATGGAGCAGGAGGGGACACTTCCTTGAGTCCCATTGTTGAGAGCTGCAGGGGTTTGCAGCTGTGAAGGGGTCACCCTTTACAGTGTTCAAACTGAAAGTGGCTTCTAGCAAAGTCCATTTAGCAGGATTTGGCCAAATTGCATAGGCTGATGTTTACAGTGGTCAAATCATGTGCTGGGTGCCAGCAGAGCCCAGCGGGGTGGGTGAGGCTCAGCACACTGCACGGTAGGGTTTATGGCTGGGGAGGAGCCAAGATGCATGGCTGAGTGAGGCTAGTGGCTGAAGGAGATGGAGGTAACTTAGAGGGGAGGAGGAGCTAGAGGACCTAGGGCAGTGTGAGCAGATGGATAAGGGAAGTGGACATTGATGGTCATTGTGTGGTAGCCACTATGTGAGGACCACAACAGTTCATTGCAAGAAGAGGCCCCTGGGAGTCGGGGGGGGGGGGGGGGCGGGGAGGTTACAAAGAGCCTTAACGTTGAGTGGGTTGTGGGTTTTGTTTTGTTTTGTTTTGTTTTAATTTTCCCCAACAGGAAACAGGAAGCTATTGATGGTACGGTAGGGAGGGGTGTTATGAGTAGCGTGACACTCTCCATCTGTAGGCAGGATGCTTTGGACCACAGAGAAGAGTGGAGCTGATGAAAGAGGGGTTCAAGCTGGTCTTCCTGAGAGGATGGGGGACACATCTGGGAGGAAGGTGACAAATCCTGTGTGGGTGGAGAGTGGCTTTGACCAGCAGAATTCTCTGTAGATCCTCCTAGGAGGCAGCATTCTTCAGAGTCAGCCTCGGAGACCCTTGGCAAAGCTGCCACAGAAGTCAACCCACGATGTGGCTCCGGAGTAAGGGATTTCCGCTGTGGCCATCACAGAGCCAGTGAAGTATCATCAGTGCATCAGAGTGCACCTCCGGTCCCTGGGCTGCCAACCCGTCTCCCTTGTCTCCCCCTTACACGTTGGTATAATGGGACTCAGGGCCTCAGCTTGCAGATTCCTGGGCTTAGCTTCACCCCAGAGCACGCTCTCAGCCTTGGATCTTGAGGGTTGGAGAATTCATTGTTTCAGGAACCCTGCGTTGTAGGATATTTAGCAAGGACCCCAGCTTCTACCCATGAGATGCCAACAGCAACTCTCCCCTCGAGGGTCACAACTCAATTTCACACATTGGCCGAGATTGGTGGAGGGTAAGACCCCACAGCCCTGGCGAGCTGACTTGAATGCGCTGCACGGCACAGCCCTGCCCTGCCCTGCCTTCCCTATTGTACTGATTTCCACTTTGCACATGAAGGCCTGGGGGTGGGGAAGGCACTGGAAGTTGGCCTGACCATGGCCTCTGCAGGGAGTCGATTCCTGACTTCCTTCCTGTACAAAGTGAGTGGGTGGTGGGCCAACAGTGATGGGACGCTTGGCTGTACTTCCTTGTCCCCAATCCAAGTACTTCATCCCTAGAGAGGCCAGTGGCCGTGTCATGGCAGGACTGACCAGTGCCGGCCTCATCACATCTTCACTGGGCCAGAAAATAAACTCAGATGCCGCACACGGTGGGATCGAAAATGTGTCCAGATGTTGGGAGGTGGTGGTGCTCACCGAACGGTGTTCAGTGGGAGCAGAGCTAAGCCTGAGGGTGTGAACCCAGAGCAGCAGGTGTGAGAGGTGGTGCTTGGAAGCAGAACAGAGAGACCCTCCCTGCGGCACCCCCACTTCTGAGCTACCTGCTAAAGCTTCTTTGTGGGCTCAGAGATAAAGATCCCTAGTTTAGCGATCGTTAGCTAACAGAGATTTAAGAAGCTCCAGGAAGGTAACTGAACAATAAAGAACATTTGGGAGAAAAAGTCAGCCTCTAATGATCCGTTTTGTACTAGCATATGTTAATTATATGTAATAATGGATTTCATCCTGGCATTTTCACAGAACATGGAGTGTATTTTTACCGTCGGGGTCCATCCCATCACCTTCTCCTGTTTCCCTCCTCTTCCTCTGGATCCCATTGCTCTTCCCACCTAGGGGTTCTTCGACTTTCACATCTTTTTTTTATGTTGATATGAATTTCATTAGGGTTGTTTACAGTAGCATAGGCTCCTTACCAGTGGCTACACCACAGAAGAAAA